TCTCTCCTACTGCTTGATTCTTACACTGGGATAGCGGAGTGATTTTTTTTCATGTGTTGATGCTGTCGCAAGGGTGCTGGGCACCATTGGGAGGAGAAGCAGGCAGGTAGGATGCTGCTGAGCTTGCAGGCGTGGAGAGGTGTAAAGTGAGGCATGAGCCTGCACTGGCCATAAATACATGCCTTCAGTAATAAATGGGTAGTGGATATGCTACAAACAGCAGAAAATAGGTGAGATGTACATAAAAGGTGGGAGCGGTGTCAGACGAGCGTGGTTTTGAGCGTAGCGTCAAAATGTGTTTGTCAACCATTTACCTGTTCAGGTTGTATTATAGTAGCTGCTGCCATTTGTTTTGATTTCTAGTTTGAATTACTGACAAGCTCTTCATTTGGCAAATATCACTTGGGTGTGCAGCTGCTGGAGCATCTCAGAGCCTCCTCCATCTTCTCAGAGTAATGCTTATGGTTCCCCAAGTCCCACTGCTGTGAAGCAGCAGAGGTAGCTAAGCAGTTTTCTGTAAGCACTCCTTGTAAATCAGTTTGCTGGAGCGTGGGGTTTCCCTAAAGCAGGTTCTGGATGGTATGTATGTTTCAAGAAACTGAAATCCAAGGGCAGAAAGGTTGCTCCTCCACCTTTCTGTGCAAATCCCAGTCAGAGCTGGGTACAGTTCTCAGGCTTTTGGCTGTAAGCTGCAGTGGCACGGAGCAGCACCGAGAGCAGGAATTACGCCTTTGTGGTATGAGGTGCTGCAGCTGCTGAGGATGGTACCATAGGGATGGCATTGCTATGGGAGTAAAGCCCCACTCTTTTTCCAGTCATTCAGAAAGCAGAGGGCTGCTGCTGTGGGTCGACGTAGCAGTTCAGATGGAATAAAGGATTGGTCTGTGAATGCTGCAGCAGTATGGGGCCAGGTGTGCGTGCACTTAAGACTAAATGGGTGGTGCTGTTTGAATGCAGCACTCAGCCTGTGTTTCCATGCTTGGTTCTTCCATTCTTACTATTCTTTGATTAGAAAGGCAGCTTGCTGGTACTCAGATCCCTTTGGAAATAGTTTTGACCAAAGGATGAGGAGAGGAGAAGGAGGTTGGTAGACTCCTGAGACGTGAGCAGGTGCAGATGATCCTTTGGATGGTCCTTTCTCACACAGTGAATTTCTTTCTGAGGAGCTTAGAAGAATCTCACTGATGAGCTCAATACATGATCCTTCCAGCAAAGCAGGCTGTTGTTGTTTTTTTATTATTCTTGAAAGATGTGAGGATTCAAATTATTTGCCATTGGAAGCAAGAGGAATTGAGCTCAGTTTCTGCCTTGATTTTTTTTACTTACTGGTTTGTTTCCTGCATGCACTCACGCAAGCAGAAGTAGCTCATGGAGAAGAGTTATTGAGGCTACTGTGAAAATGATGCTGCTTCATAAAATTGACTTGACAGTCTTTAAATGCTGAAATGCTTTACCTGGTCAACTCTGCAGCTGCAAGACATCATCCTATGGTCTCTAAATAAAGATGCTTTAAAATCATAAGGCTATAAGAAAGAAGCCACTCCGTGGTGTTGAGCTGAAAACGCAGCACTGCTGGAAGGCTACTGCCTTGCAAAGTTGATTTATGATCTCTTACTCATGCGGAACATAGCACAGCTGAAGTACCAGTGCAAGTTAAGCAGAATGCTGGATGGGTTCATGTCCAGGTGGAGCCTGAAATCAGCTGGGACTGTGTTGATGAGCAAGCTCCTGGGAACGAGGGGTTCTGAGATGGTCCTTAAGCAACCTGTTTGGGTCTAAACAGCAGAAAAACTCTCACACTGAAACGCCCAACAATAAGATTATGTTTTCAGGCAAATTGCAAGTAATTGGATCAAACAAGCTGAAGAAAGTTCACCTTGCAGCTTGATTATTTTTCACCCTCAGTACTGGTCTTTTACTTAGGTCGGCATCTACGGGAAAGTTTCAGCTTCTGCTACAAGTGTTAAAGCTTCTGCTGTTACAGTACCTGATGAACAAACAGCCAGTGACAGAGGATTGAATTCCAGGTACTAAAACAGTCTGTTGTCATGCTCAGTTTACCTCATGACCACACACTTAACCAAGAGCTTTTAGCTAAAGAGACATTATGTGTTGTAAGCATGGCTTCAGCTGCCTTGCAGAGCTCCTGGTGCATTCCTCACTCAGGGCTGGGCCAGTTCTCCAAGGATGCAGCTTTGTCCGATGCACCCAACAGAGGATGAGGGCTTTGCAGGCCTGAATGCTGGGATTTTCATCTGGAGATGGGAGAAACTTAACTGTATGCATAAAGAAAAGGCGTTGGCATTATTTGGGCTTGCATATGTGTCTTTTGCTTATGGATTTGATCTGTACTGTGGCAACAGGTACCAGTGGTGGTGAGTCTTGAAGTTGCTTGATGATTATGAAGGTGCACTTTGCATCTTTATATTGACTTTTAACTTGTCACTGACACCAAGATAATAAGCATGGCACAGAGTCCAGCAGATCATTTCATATTTGTCCAAAGGCAGCTGCTATTTTCTGAAGTTCTGTGATCTGGAAAAAAAAGAGCTCGGAAGAGCTGCTGACCTGTGTCGGCTGTTCTGAGGAGAGGTGTTGCCTTCATTCCTTCTATCCCTTCTCCCCAAAAATCTAATTTCCACTGTCTCACCTGAATCTCAATGAAGGTTGTAAGGGTAGTCCATGGGATGTTGGTTTGGGGGTTCTATGCAGACTTACAGTGGGGAAGCTGAAGATGCTGGAACCATGAGTTCTGGCTGGCTTTTAGGGATCCATGGTACCCATACCCTCCATCTTTCAGCTGGGGACTGTTTTACCTTGTGGGGCATTCTCTGATTTGTGTTGAAAGAGTGCATTGGAGTGAGGTAGGTGGCAATGCTGTTTTAGAAGACAACGTGACTAGATCTCTGACCGGTGCTGTCTTCAGCTTTTCTGCCATCCTGCATCTGATGTTTCTTTTCTTGAAGATATAATGCATTGCCATGTGCACAGTCCTTGCATTTAGACACATCTTACTCTGAGCATTCATGGAGTGCAGATGTTCATAAAACAGACATTCATGTCTTGAGAGCTCCGCTCGCCTGTGGTGAATGGGAAGCCTTCCCAGGTAAGCTAGAGAACCGCTGCAGTCGGTTCCTGAATAAATGAACTTTTCAGCACGTTGGGAAGGGAGTGGGGGAGGCACCTCCTCACTGTGATGGATGCAGAGAGTGCCTTCCAACGCCAGAGCAAGCTGTCCTCCCTGCTGCTGAGCTCCGTGAGCAGTGGGAGCTCTGTGGAGCGCGTACTTGGAGGAGGAATAGAACAGTCTGTGTGTATTGAAGCAGCATCGCTGGCTAATGGGGCTTTCATGAAAAACAGGAACTCTGCTGCTGTTAAATATCTGCACATACATATATGCATCTTCCAAGGGGAAGCAGGCACCTTGTGTCTGTGTGCTGTTTGCCTTTGGTGGTATATGCAGGGATGGCACAGGTTCAACAGAATGGCTCCATTACACAAATACTTTGTTTGTTATAAGCTAGGGCGACAGGCTAACTTGAACTTGCTCTCTTTAAATGCAAAGGAGAATAAAGTACATGCTGGTCACGTGTTGTGCAGATGTGGGCTGTGATGGGAGAAGTGGCTCTGAGGCTGCAAGAAAGTGTAATATCTTTGGTCGGTGTATGGCTCTTTTCATGCAAAGAGGAAGAGGGATAATTGATGTTCAGATTTGCTCTTTAAGTACAAGTTCTTCTTCAAGAACGGGTTGCCCAAGGAGGCTGTGGATGCCCCATCCCTGCAGGCATTCAAGGCCAGGCTGGATGTGGCTCTGGGCAGCCTGGGCTGCTGGTTGGTGACCCTGCACACAGCAGGGGATTGGAAATGGATGAGCACTGTGCTCCTTTTCAGCCCAGGCCATTCTGTGATTCTGAGCAGGCCTGCTGGTTTAATGCTGGCTGGTTACTTGAGATCTGGGTTTTAAAGCAAATGTTCTGATGAGAAACTTGCAGACCCTGAGAGGAAGGTCTGAGCTATGCAAAGGGTGGCACAGGACAGGCAGCTGTGTATGTGCTTAGCACTGAGTGAATACTCCTGCTTAAAGACTGGAAATCCTGATCTGGAAAATAGAGAAACAAACTTCTAGAAGCAGAGCTGAAAGTTGCTGTCCAGAGGTTGTGTTTGTTATGATCCCCTCTGCTTTGCAATGGATGCTTGCCTTCCGCAAAGCGGAGTGGAGTGTCCTGCTGGTGGAATGGAGCAGAACCTGAGGGGAGGAGCAGGCAGAGGGTATTCCTGAGTGCATTGTCCAGCTCGGTTTCGGTTACAACAGAGCTGTAGAGCATATTGCTTAACAGGCTGCTCTTTAGGTAAGCATTGATTTTGCAATGCACAACTAGCAAAATTAAGCTGGGTAAATCACTGATGGGAAAACAAAGATTTTCTTTCTTTCTTTTTTTTCCCAGTGGCTTCTATCTGTGGATGAAAGTGAGTTTCAGACCCCTGAGCTCTAAATATATGCTAACCACGTTCTCTTCTTCAAGCTGTAATTAAATTTTAAAATGGAGGAATGAGAAATTTGCATGCAGGGGACTGTCCTTGCACCATAAAGTTAAAATGCAGCCATTGGGTCCTTCTCTGATGGAGCTCTGATAGCTTGATTGACTCAAAAGACACAAGGTGTGCACTGGCTGATGCCAGATAGAAGAAGGCACTCAAACACGTGTTTAACAGCTCACTTGTTGCATCTCTGCCTGTTCAGAGCAGCTTTCAAGCCCTTGTTTGCTGTGATACCATCACTGGGGAGCAGCAGCAGCAGCTCAGGCCTATGTGTGCCAGAGGAGATGCCCCCAGGATGAGGAGCAGGAACTCTTTCTTGGAGCTGTGATGCAGAGCTCCGTGTCAAGCCTGGTGAGATAGATAGGCGTAGAAAGGTTTTGCTCCCCTCTAAGGGGGTGGAGAAGGAAGCACATCTCTCAGCATTTCTTCTCACTGGAGTCACTGGTGTCAGCTGTAGGTGTTCCAGCAGAGAACACAAGCCCTCAGCACGCTGAGCTGTTTGTCACGTACCTTTGACCACCTCACCCACTGATCTCTGCCCGTGCACGGCTATTCCTGGAGCTCCCAGCCATCACCAGCACTCTCTGTCTCCGGCGGCGGTTCCTCTTCTCATTGCCAATGGGAATTTTTTTTGCTGTCTTGAACAAATGAACCACTTCTCCTGACATTTGGGGTTGCTTCTGTACAAGGCTGTTGAGGCAGAGTGGTTGGCAGCCCTGCAGAGTGCAGACGATGATCCTGCCCTACAGCACTGAGAAGAGAGAGGTCTGCAGCTTTGTATGCACTGCGCTGTGCCTGCTTCCAGGGCATGTTGTAGCTGTGTCCTCTATGCAGAGATGCAGAAAGGTAAGGGTATGTGCAGAAAATAACGCTCTGTTGACACATAGGTAATGGCTTTAAGAGAAGTAGGACTGTCTTTTTGGGAAGTGGAATCTAGATAGAAGTTTGCTATAAGAATTCCAGAAGATCTGTGCAGATATTTTCAAACTGGGATTTCCAGCAACTCAAAGTGGGAATACTGGCTTGGTGCTCTGTTTAAGATGCAGGAGAACAGTGTGGGAAGAGATTAGTGCTGTCCTGTTCCTGGATGCAGCTGCTCGTGACAGCCTCACAGCTGTATTTCTGCACATCTTCACAAAGCTCACCTAGAGTTCCAAGCCACAGACCTTGCAGCTGCTAACAGCTCTGCTGCCTGATGGCAGCTGCTGTATTGACAAGCACGTTTCTATCAGGGGAGATGCTGGGGGAGTGGAAATGAGCAAGAAACAACTGTTTATGTAATCCATGCTCTATAGATCAGTGATGGCGAAAACAAATCATTTACGTGTCTGGTGCTGCTGCACCTTGGGCTGTGCATGGCTGCGATCAGCAGCGTTGCAGGGAAAGCAACCCAAGTGACCACCTCTGTGCTCTGCAAGATTGGGCACGGGCTGGGAGCTGATCCTTGAAGGGAGAGCGGTTCCCACAGTGGCACAGGACTTGCTGCTCGCATTCACTTCTTAAATAACACCTCCTTCCTTTTCCTTCCCCTAATTGCCAAATAGATCATCTTTATTTCTCAAATACCTATCAGCCAGAGCTCCCAGGGGATTCCTGTAGCTGATGGTTCCTCGTGCATCTAGAAAACTCTTACCATTCTGTGTTACTCAGAGCTGGTGACTTGCATGACTGAAGCTGCACGTGTGAAAAGCATGCTTGAGGTCAAATCCAGAGTCGTATATAGACATGGCAGTCACTTAACAAGCTTGCATCAAATGAATTTGTTGACAGACATGCAAAAAATAAACTAGTACGAGGAGTTCCAGCTGCGAGGAGCAAAGAGGAATCGAGGTATTGCAGCCTTGAGCCGCGGCATTGATGGCCATCCCTGATTTTTTTTTATTGCTTCATCCTATTTTTCTGCATAGCCTGGTAACTCATTACACAGACAGCAGGGCTTTCTTTTTCCTCAGTCACACTGTGAGCGTTTACAGCCAGATGAAGATACTGGCAGCTGTGTCAAGGCCTCTGCGTGCGCTCGCTTCCAGTAAAGGAGAATGCTTTATTTCCCGTACTTGGGATTTGGGGAGCTCTTAGGTGAGCATTTCCATTGGATTGGGAAGTCCAGGGAGGTTCTGTGCTGCAGGTTCAATTGCCTGCATTCTTCCCTTCCCAGTAGGAGTCTGGGGATTTAGGGAAAACAAGCTTCCTTGCTGCGGCTGTTATTTAGTATTTCTCCCATCTAAAGTCGAGGTTCTCTAACCTCAGAGAAAGGAGATCAAACAATCTGTTGCAGGTTTTGATTTCTTTTTTCAGAATCCTGGAAGGCACTCCAACACCAATTGTGCTTTACATTTCTGAAACAACCTGCTTCTGCTTTGGATTTGGTGGTTTGTAGCTATTGATGGGAAGCTCTTCCTGAGGTATAAGCACAGACCTTTGTCGCTGTGTCTCTTCCATCCATCACCTGATCTGCTGTTCTCACGTGGCTCTGAGTGCCCCTCATTCTGCTCAATGTGTTCTCACTAATTCCTAGCATTAATACAGGAAAGTTGAGGAGTGAACACCCTAAAAAAGACCTGCCCTCTGAACGCACCTCTCACAGTTATGTAGCACCCTATTTAGTGACTTTGGGTTGCAGATGTGTCCGTTATTCACAAGCAGTGAAGCCCTATCGTTCCAAACAAGCATCAGTAAAACCTCCAACCACGTTATTCTCCACATTGCTGTAGTTTGCTGTCTTTTTATTTTATTTAACAGTTGAGATTGGAAAAAGGGGCAGGTCCTTAGAGAGGAAGGTAGGTTATTACTGTACAAGATTTAAAAACAGGAAAAGTTCTGCTAGAAATGAAACCTTTTTGAAATAAACAGGGCAGCTCTTTTTCCCACTTGTCAACTTGTTACTGTAATCTGTTTGCTGATTGCAAGCTGTTTTGGGTTGTGAATGGTGCTTTTGGAGCCTGCTGCAGAGTGCATAGAAGCGCTCTCCTGATAGGGGCGCTGGGATGCTGGTCCTGTCTGGAAAGCTGTGCTGGGAGGGCTGGAAGGCATGGTGTTCTTCAACTGTGTTACACAGTTCTGCTGTGAGCCTTCAAGAACAGCTCAAATTCAGGAGGAATAATCTCAGACTGCACTGTGTCATTTCTTGTATCAGTTAGAAGCTGCTCTGCTATGGTGCTGGGGGTCCTAATAGGCTCTGGCTCCTCAAAGGGAGCCCAAGGTACCACCGAGCCTCTGAAAAGTCTTTAGAAAGAGCCACTGGGCAAAGGAGAAGAGAAATGGTGTGATAATAACCGCTTGGATTTGGAATGCCACTGGGGGTGATACTGTGTGTAAGTTGTGTTTCAGACTGGGGGTGCCCAACAGGATTGCTTTCAAGCTATAGGTCATAATTTTTGTGATAAAGCAACACATCCTTCCTCCTATGGCAGTTATTTTCCACAGTAGTTAATCCTGATTGTGAAAAATCCACAGTGGTGGATGTACGAAGCATAAAACTTCCAATGTGCAGTGTTATGGAGAAGTGACATACAAGGAGGTGATGGAATTGCTTTGAAATAGAGTTTTTTGGTCTCCTTTTACAAGATGTCAACGGATGCTTACACGTGCTTCACAGCAGGGAAAAATGCTTTGTTTTTAATTTTAGCCCCGCTAATAAACTCTTGTCATGGATGTCAGAGAAGAAGAAAGAAAATTTCTAGAGCTGACTGTAGGTCGTCATTAAAGCCGATTCGCTGCACTAAGCCAAAAACAACACAAGCTTCAGTTTCTGGACTTCCTAAATATATTAGTCACACTGATGTTTGCTTAAGCCCTGGCCCCAGGAGCTATAGAAACGTCCTGCGGGGACCATATTGGAAAGCACTGATGTGTTCTTGTCTGTCACCTTGTCCTGCCTCGTGCGGCGTGCTGCTGCCGCCCTCTCCTCTATTTGAAGAGAACACGCTTTGGCTTCCAGCTGCTGACACTTGCAGACAGCTGCTTGTAGCATCCTGCTGAAAATCCCTTCCTCTCTTCCCTCAGCCAGTGCAACAAGAGGCAATCTGTTGTTTGGAGAGCACAGCTGAAGGCGCAGCCTGCCAGGTTCTTGGGCAGCAGTGTGACAGGACACAAATCCTGCCGTGGCTGCACGGGCGCTCCGTGGTCAGCTCGTAGCAAATGGGAACTCAATGCTACTTGTAAAACAAACAAACAAAAAAAAAAACAAAACAAAAACCAACCATAACATCTTGCAGTCAATCAGATTACTTACTAAAAAGCAGAGCGTAGATGGGAGGGCCCTAAATTTAAAGCTACCAGTTCTGAGGCTGTGGGAACTCTGGTGAAGCGGTTGCTCCAGCGCTGTTTTCCCACAGCACCTCTTTACCTGCAGCTGTACTTACTGAGGGGTCGCTGGAAATGCATGAGCTCAGAAGGTTTTCAGGCACCACTTGTTTCTAGCAGCTTGTAATACCTGGAATCTCGAGGCTGTTCAGCTCTGGTGGCTGTGTGTTTGACAGAGTGCTTAAAGCCAACGTGGGACCGCATGTGTTTATACCGAGAAACAGCGCGTCAGATTAGCTTCTTAATTTCCTTTGCAGCGTTGTGCTGCTGTGCTTCATCAGCTAATTTCAATTAGGGTTTTGTGCTTTAGGTTGCGTTTGTTTTTAAATGATGACTAAACCAGAAACTGAGGAGGGCTGGCCACTTCAGTGTCGCGGTGCTAAATGTGCTGTAATTCTCTCTTTCTTGATGTTTGTCCTTCTGACAAATTGTCTTCTGAGTTCCTGCTCCCCTTTCCCTATTTCCATCTCGGTGAGTAGATCTGTTGGACCTGTGTGGGTGGGAAGGCTTCTTTAGGCTGGTCCCAGCTGTGCTAATGGAGATGTCAGAATGCAGTGCCGTTGTATGGGAGCTGTTGAGTCACAGCCTGAAGCACTGATCGAGCACCTGGGGAAAGGACTGGGTCAGCCCTGGGAGCACAGGTGAAGGCAATTCAGCTGTGTGACCAGAAGGGATGGAGCCTGACTGCACCTCTCAGACCTCGTTTAAGAGCTGACTGCTTTTGCATGCTCTTCCACCAGTCCGGTCACTCAATCACAGAAGGAGATGAGGTTGGTCAGGCAAGACCTGCCTTTCATGAACCTATGCTGGCTGGGCCTGATCCCCTGGTCATCCCATACGTGCCATGTGATTGCACTCAAGATGATCTGCTCTGTGACCATTCCTGGCACGCAGCTCAGGCTGATGGTCATGTAGTTCCCTGGACCTTCCTGATGACCCTATCCTGTGTATTCACATGGAGGAAGGGAAAAGGAGAAGGATGCAAAAATGTCTACCATAAAGGAAAAAGGGAGTAGTCTGCAACCGGCAATGGAAAGGTCAGAATGCACGGCTGGCACTGTGGCAACTGTGTCCAACTGGGGTGTGGTTATGGGCTATCCCTGAGCTCTGCTTGGATTATGCCTTTGCTCTGTTCACTGTATAAATATTCCCTGCCAAGCTGCAGGGAAGCGCAGCAAAATGGCTCTTGCACACACTATGCTTGGAGATTTATTATGATGCTTTCTGTTACCTAGGAAAATCCAAAACGTGTCCTAGAGGGGAGTAGGGGGACTAAAAATGACGTTATGGAAGAGGTCTGTGTTCGGCTCAGCCTCTCACGGTACGTGCTGAGCATTTGAGTGCATCAGCAAGTTTGTCCACATGCTGTTTTTATGCGAGCGTTACGGTCTGACAACTATGAATCACCCGCTCAGCTCTTGATTTGCGTCAATCAAACCACATTTAAGAGAAGCTTTGTTCGCTGTTGGGATCACAAGACCCAGGCGAGTGTGTGAGCGATGGCTTCAATTCTTTGGAATGGAGGCTCAACGGTGGGTGCTCGG